GTCACCTGGGGGCTGTGCTGCCTCTGGGCCTGAAAGTCAGTTGTGTCCTCGGGCCTTTAAGAGAAAAAGGAGAGTTCCTAGTAATAACAATGTGCTGGAGCACACAGATGGGGAAGACTGGGAGGGTGGCGCAGGGCCAGGCAGTGTCTCGTTCTGCGGTGCCTTCGGTCGCTGTGGGTCGGCCGATTCGATGGCACCCAGCAGCCGTGTTAGTGTTTGTACTAGTTACTGCAGTTAGAACACGTTCATGTTGTTTTGACCACTTGTGGGCTAATCATGGTAGTAATCAGTTCAGGATTTTTAAACATTTCTGAAGCCTATGGTCACAGGAAATTGAATACAGTGGATGTGTATATTGCAGAGAAGTATCCTAAGTGATCACTGAAACTTTCAGGCATAAAAATATAGTAAAATACATTTCAGTGAGGGGTAAATAGACTAAAACTAAAAGATGAAAAAAGACAATAAGAAATTGTCAACTGCAAAATAACTTTGATGTACGCTTCAGGAAGTTTGTGGGGAAATTCCATTATCTTTTCATTCTACTTTTCCACTAGGTTTTTGAAGCCCCCTTGTTTACATCAGATGAGGCTTTCTACTCCTATAAAGATATATAGTCTCAAACCCACAGGGCAGCTCTACTCTGTCCTATAGGGTCACGACGAGTCAGAATTGACCGGAGGGAGTGAGTTTGGTTTGGTTATATATCTTCTTTTTGGTGAAAGTATGCCATGCCAAAGATGTGCCATTTTAGCAATTTCTACACTTGCAGTTAGTTCAGCGACATTGGTCACGTCCTTCACGTTGTGTGCCGTTCTCTCTGCCCCTTTCCAAATCTCTCCACCACAGTTGTCTTGAACTCCCTGCCCATGAAGCTCCCCATCCAGCCTTCCTCGTTGCCGTGGTCAGCTTGATGTCAGTGAGATAATTCTGTAAAAAGATGACAGTGCTCAAGGCAGATGCACTGTACTTACTAAGCTAACCACTTTTTAAAGTTCCAACAGACAACTGATAATTTGGTTAAAGGTTTAAACTTTAAAAATCATCTCAACGTTTTGGGAGCTCATCCAATTTTAATGGCTCCCTAACACCTGGGTTTCGTGGAGAATTTATTTTCTGCACCTCGTTTTTCTCTCTTTGATTGGGATTTTTCTGTAGAATCTTTGATCAAGTTCTTCTAGTCTCATGGCAAAGGAAGTAGTCCCGTGTACCATGTCTTAACCACCTTATAATAAAAACAAGCCAAGAGTAAGAGTTGAAAACTGTAAAATAACATTTTCCATGTATCGATCTGGGAAAGATGAGAAAAACAGTGGTCGGTGTCAGTGTTGTACATAGCTGTGGGAGAATGAACACTCCTGTTATTTTTAAACTTTTTATTGTAAATTAGTTGAAGATTTGCAGAGCAGATATTAGTTTTACATTGAATAAGTCATACACATGCGGGTTCATCCATTGTAACCCCCTCCCTGAGTATCACTGCTACATCCTCCCTGTTACTGTCTCCTTTCCTGACCCTCTGAAGCATTGTCTTTGGGTCAAGGCTGCCCCTTGATCTTTACATGGCTGATTATTCTACTGCAAAGATGCGTTCAGTTCCAGACCTGAAGTCTACAGACCATAGTCTTAGGACTCTCACAAGGCTATCAACCAGTAAGCCTGGTTTCTTTATGATTTTGAGTGTATTTACACATTTTGCTCCCTTTCTGCCCAGGACCTCCTAATGTGATCCTTTTCAGAGGAGTTGGTAGTGGTCGCTGAGCACCATTCTAGTACCTCTGGGCTCGGGGTTGTGGAGCTTGGTGTTTTCATGGTCCATCAGTCCACTGGATTAATTATCTCCGTTTGTCTTTTTATTGGCATCACTCTTCTTTCCTGTGGGTGGGGAGAGAGACCAATAATTAATTGCACCTTAGATGGCTGCTCATTAGCTTTTCAGACCCCAGTCACTACTCATCGAAGTAGAATATAGAATATTTTCATTGTGAACAATCTTATGCAAGCAACCATGGTGCCCCCCTCCTGCCCCCCACCCTCCAACTACGGTTCTGAATCTCCATGTTTAGCAACTGGTTCCCTCAAAGTGTTTGTCTGTGTTAACATGTATGTAACTTTGCCCAGGATATGCTGCACCCTGTAGGATAAAGTAGAACTACTCCTTAGGGCATTTGAGACTGTAAGTCCTTGGTAACAGCTCATCTTTCCTCCACACAGTGACTGGTTGAATCTGAACCCCCTACCTTTTGGTTGTACCTGACCTCTTTAATAGAAGAACAACCCTCTATCCAAACAGTATGTTTTTCATGGTACAAGAGCCAGGAGTTCAACCCATGTTTTATGGGGCACACAGTTGAGTGCCTAACAGTACTCTTACTCTTCAAAAGTGTCAAGGTCATGAAATTACAAAGAAAGACTGGGCATCTATGTCAAGTTGTAGGGAGATAAATACACGTGACAGCTTAAAGAAAAGGTGTGATTCTGTATTGGATCCTGGATCAGGGAAAAGGGGGATACAGTGAACCCTCGTTTATCGCGGTTAATTGGTTCTAGACCCTAATAAATGAAATCCCGCGAAGTAGGATTCCTTATTTGTAAATAAAATATTTTCGTAGTTAGAGCATAGAGGACATGAAAAAACACCCTTTAGTCACCATTACACTCGTATTACCCAATTTATTAAATGAAAAAGGGAAAATACAGTAAAACATTTTGGACGTTACAATTATCATTTATTATTTATTATATTATTTTTGGCATCAAGCGTGTACAGTATGAGCCAATCAGTGGCAGTAATGACAGAGCATGCACTGTTACGCAAAAACCGCGATAGAGTGAAGCCGCGGAAGTTGAAGCGCGAAGTGGCGAGGGTTCACTGTAAGACAATAAAGAATGTTGTTGGGGCAGTTGGCTAAATTAGAATAGGAATTGTGGGTTAGGTCATAATTTGTATCAATGCTGGATTTCTGGATTTGAGGTAAATGTATTTGGGGAGATATATTTTGCTTGTAGGAAATACTCATTTATGGAAGAAAAGGGCACACACTTTGACTTCAGCAATGGTTGTAACTAGTAATTGGACATGTACTCTAAGGTGAAACTATTGAACGCTCCTTATTATAGAGATAGTAGCAAACATTTGGAAACAACTTAATTTCCGGTCATAAGAGATTGGTTAACTAAATCAAGGTTCCTCCGTATAGTGCGGTAGTGTGCAGCCTTGTAAAACGATGTTGGAAAGCTTTGGGGGAGGAGTGTTTCCAGAACCGGGCCATAAATAGCTGACACAAGTCAGAAGCAAAGGAGGAGCCGGAAGAGCCGTAGGCAGGGAGAGGCCGTGCTGAGGATCTCCGTTGAGGAGTTCCACCATGCTTCTTTCCAGGGCAAGGCCCTGAAAGTTGACGGGACTCTTGAGCCTGCAGTTGCTTTGTTTGCACTTGAAATGCCCAAGGCAGGATTTGATTGGTTCAGCTCTTCCAAGGGAGCATAGTTGTGCAGCACAGCCAGGCCTGTCAGGATGCCTCTTGGCTATGTTTCGGGCCCTTTCCTAGAGAAAGGGGGCTTGCATTTTTGTGAACGGGGAAGCCACCTCAGTTGTTGCCTACTTCCCTCGGTTTTCGAAAAGTTAAAATCAGCAGACTACAAAACATTGGGTCCAATGGACTCCATTCCGTAACAATGTGGGGTGAGTTGGGAGGGTGGGAGGGAGAGAGAACAAGGGCTCTGATTGCCTGTGTTCATTCTAAGGTTCCTCTTCGACAGGCGGCCAGCCCTGGTGGAGTTATGGCTAGCCGCTCCTCCCAAGCTAGCCAGAAGGTCAGCGGGTCACACTCAGCAGCAGTGGTTCTCAACCTTCCGAAATGTTGCGACCCTTTCATACAGCTCCTCATGTGGTGGTGACCCCCAACCATAACATTATTTTCATTGCTACTTCATCACTGTCATTTTGCTACTTTTATGAATCGGGCAACCCCTGTGAAAGGGTTGTTGGACCCCCCCCAACGGGGTCTCAACCCACAGTTTGAGAACCAACCACTGCTCTAGTGAAATCAGTAGCCATTGGCTTCCATCAAGTTTGAAAAACAAAACCCACACCCCACTGTCCTCTAGTCGATTCTGACTCGGGGCAACCCCAGAGGTCAGTGCAGAACTGCCCCTGTGGGTTTCCATGGAGATCTTCACAGGAGCGGCAGGTGGGCTTGATGTGCTCCGGCTCCTGCTGTTCGAGTTCCCAGCCCTGGGCCCCTCTGGAGCAGTCCTCTAGAGTCCCCTCCCTGGGCCTTCCCATGGACGTGATGGCATTGCCATGTTGAGATTGTGCTCTTTTTAAAGGCGGGGCCCATGAGTGACAAAGGGTTTGTGTGAAAGGCTGGCCTTTCAGACTCACTCAGTGATTCCTCAGAAGAAAGGCCTGGCGGGTTTGGGGTGTTTTTTGGCTTTTTTGTTAGATATTCAGGCTCTCAGTAAAGCCCTCAGTGGTGGCCCAAGTGGCAAACCAGTAACGTCTCCATTATATTTTTCTAGATTCAAGCCAAGCCTTCCGCTCCTGTGGTCTCGGCCAAGTATGCTTTCAGCCTGTTCAGCCCATCTTGTGTCTTTTCTTGAGAAATAGTGACTGTCCTCCAGTGCCCCTCCCCTCCCGTCTCCCTACTCCCCTCCATCACTGGGGCCAGCAGAGGTGTGGGAGTCCCTGTCTGGGCACAGATGCATGTTAGGCTCAAGAGGCTCTCCTCACTACCCCTCTCCACCCCACCCCCCAACACACACACACACACACACACCCGCACTGTCAGCACCTGGTCTGGTCTGTTATGTCCTTGAGTTCTTCGGTCTGTATTTTTCATTTCGTGTTTTTTTTTTTTTACTGGTCTAAAACAATTAGTAGAAATCATGTAAGCACTTCCTAATGTTCTCACCAGGGTTGAGGCCATGGTCATCTAACCCACAGTGGTGACCACGTGGAAGAGCCAGGAGCTAACGAGTGTAAATGTGTACTTTTTCAGACATCCACACAGAAGCCGTTCAAGCCGCACTTGCGAAGCATAAAGAACAGAAAATGGCTCTGCCCATGCCGACCAAAAGGCGGTCCACGTTTGTCCAGTCTCCCGCAGATGCCTGCACGCCTCCTGGTAGGTTTATCGGAACCTCCTCTCTCCGCCAGTGTGTGCTTGTCGTGCCTGAAATAAGCTGGCTGCTTCCTTTTCTGAGGTAGGAGCTGAACTCTCTGCATCAGCAGCAGTGACTGGGGGCCCACCGGAGGGGACAGGTTCCCATGGTCACATCATCAGCAACATGCAAAGATAACTTAAGAGCTATTTTAAAGCGTTTCCCCTCCCTTCTGAACCTCCAGCATTTCTGTATGTGATTCCCCCACCCCCACCCCACCCCACCATAATTTATATAAGCCAAAGTTCAGGGTCTCAAAAAATCCTGCCAAATCCAGTAACGTATATAAAATTTGACCTCAGACTCCTGCGTTCTTGAAATCCCCTGTATTCCTCAGATGCCACAGTTATAGGAGAAAGTAGAGTGGGACGTTTTGTGCATCATTAACGATGGGAATAGATTTGAAATATGTATGAAAGTGTGTGAGGGGGTAATGTATTTTGTATACATTTATATCATTCTTAGAGGAATCCATTTCTGTTTGATGGGTCCCTGAGAGCCGAGGCAGCGCGTTGCCTTCATGCCATCCCCACTCTCCGGGAGTGGGCCTCTGTTTTTTTAAAGACAAGCAAACTTTATTTTGGGGAGAAATCCTCCTGCGGGATCTTGATGTAGACCTTGAGTAAGCATATTAAATCTGTTTCAGAGCCTCATTTTGATGAATGTCTTTCTCTTTACTGTCATGTTATTGCTAAGGAAATCTTCGGAGGATGGTTTTTCTCCTTGCGCGTGTGCTCTTGTGGCCCGCGCTGCTTGTGGTGCCGTTGGGGAGCCCTAGGAAGGGTTTGCATGGTCGGGTCTGACTTCTCCTCGCGGCTGTCAAGCTGTGAAGCTGTTTGCCGATCCCCGTTCATAGTCACGGTTTTCGCCCAGGTTTGGGCAAGTAGGTCTGAGCATTGGGGTGTACTGTGGGCTTATTAACTGTGTGTGCCCCCCCGCCCCGTCCCCGTCCCACCCCTCACGTATGTGGTGTCAATTTGTTTGCAAGAGAAACAGCTCTGTGGCTTCAAGTGACACTTACAACATGGCCAGAGGCTTCCTCTCGCAGACCCCCACAATAAGACATTCTGTGTCCGTTCTGCTGCGTACTTGAAGCCCACTCATTCGAAATCTTGGATGGTTTCCCTTCCACATTCGTGCAACACCAGTTGGTTCTGTGGACAAAGGAGGCTCTCAGCTTAGCTGCACATCTTGTTGGCCAAGATTCCCCTGCAGTGCGGCTGAGGGTTCACTTGTAGTCGGTGGCAAAGGGTAGGGAGCCACGTGACACGTGGCGCCCAGAAACAATTCTCTCCCCTGCTGAATTAAAGAAATGCAGTGATCAGAGGAAGTCTTCTGTGCTCATGGCCGCAGGCGAGATGGGGGAGTCCAGCAAAGGATCTTGGGAATACTCAGAAGGAATGGAAGCCATTTTTACCCCCTTTTAGTGGAAGTCACTGCCTGAGGGGAAGAAACAAATCCTGGCTGTTCACTGCTGAATAGGACCTGTTGTGGTTGGCGCGGCTTGTGGGGTTGCTGAGGCCACTCAGTCCCCTAATGCCCCCAGGGGCAACAGAATGAATTGCGGCTTGGTTCAGCCCTATCCTCGCTACTGGTGGCTGTGGGGGGGAGCCCTGTGGCAGCCACCGTGCCAGTCCCTCTTGTTGAGGGTCTGCCACTTTTTCACTGGCCCTCTGTTTTATAAAACATGATGTCCTTCTCCAGGGCCAGGGTCCTTCTTGATAACATATCCAAAATACGTGAGGCGAAGTCTGGCGCCCCCTCACTTCCCCATCACATTCTGCCGGTTCTTTTCCCAACACAAGACGCGTTCGTTTTTCTTGCCGTCTGTGGTATACTTCCTGTTATTGGTATACTTCCTGTTATTTGCTAACACCCTGCTCTGAATGCATCAGTTCTTCCTCAGTCTTACATCTCACATGCATCTGAGACCAATGAGGCTACCTTGACGTGCGTCAGGCAGGCCCACCACTGCCTTCAAAGGGGCCTCCTTGCTCTGCAGCACTTCTAAGGGGTCTGGGGCAGATTTGCCCATTTGGTTACTTTACTGCTGCTTCCATGAGCATTCGTGGTGGAACCCAGCAAAACGAAATCCTTGACAACTGCGCTCTTGTCTCCACTAAACAAATTGTTGCTTCTCGGCGCTCCTCCAGCCTTGCTGTTTTCATCTCCTTGACTTTCAGTTCACTGAAGACCGCGGTCTTGACTCCTCACCAGCATGGGCTTCAAGTCCTTTCAGCCAGCACGGTTATGTCATCCGTTATCTCAGCTTGATCCTGAGCCTTCTTCCGGTCCTGGTACTGCGCTCCTCTTCATCTAGTCCAGCTTCTCAGATTATCTGCTCAGCTTACACACTGAGTAAATAGAGCAGAGGGGTCCAGTCCTTGTTCTGCTCCATAACTGCGTCTCAGAGCACAGGTTCCTCAGGAGCATTATGAATTGTTCTGAGACGGGAATGGGCCGTCGTCCTTTGGAACTCACGACAGGACCCCGTATTTCTTTTTTTTTTTTTTTAAACATTTTATTAGGGGCTCATACAACTGTTATCCCAATCCATACACACATCAATTGTGTAAAGCGTATTTGTACATCATTTCTCAAAACATTTTCTCTCCATTTAAACCCCCGACATTAGGTCCTCATTTTTCCCCTCTCTCCCCGCTCCCCCCTCCCACATGAGCCCTTGATAGTTTATAAATTGGTATTTTGTCATATCTTGCCCTGTCCAACGTCTCCCTTCATCCACTTTTTGGTTGTCTGTCCCCCAGGGAGGAGGTCACACACAGTTCCATGTAATCGGTTCCCTCTTTCCTACCCATTCTCCCTTTACCCTCCCTGTTTTGCCACTCACACCACTGGTCCTATAGGGCTCATCCATCCTGGATTCCCGACCCCGTATTTCTAAACACTGTTGTTCTACTCTTAACTACAGTCTTGAGGATGGGGCATACTCTTCTTGGTCACCTTAAGTGTTTTATAATTTCAGGATGGAAACATGCAGTCCTCTCTCCTAAGATCTATTCTCTGCAGAGCACAGTCATGAGAAGGTTCCTCGTCCTGTTCTGGGGAATCTCTGAGAAACATTTGGAAAACCCCGGACATCTGTGTTGTCAAGTAGCAGAGGGCTTCTCCCCCAGGAAGCATTGAGAACTCGCGCGTCCCGTGCCTTTTCGCACAGCCCCCACACGGGACCAGGCCGTGATACGCCCATTCAGCAACCACACGCAGAGCCAGGATGAAGACTGTGCTCTAGGAGGGCAGGTGGGAAGAGCTGTGTTAGGGGGCTTCTGTTGGCACCTTTCATTTTAGACGGCATGGAATTTATGCTAGAGTCCTATTTACAAATCCAGCTTCAAATGTGACACTCTCCCGGAGGTCCTGGGGTCACCATGACTCTCCAAGAGCCCCTGCTTACAGCTTGTCACTAGCTCCCAGGACCTGCTGCAGCCTGACCTGGGGTTGGTCCATAGGTGCCACGTGGCATGTGTACTCTGGTTGACTGCTGGAAGTCCTCAAAGGGTGCCATCCAGAAGAATGCCGACGCGGGGAGGGTGAGGAGCGTTGGCATTATTGTGCATTGCCGGCTGTTTTAAAGGAGCAGCCCTGGTGGTGCAAGGATTCATTTCTCAGCTGCTAACTGAAGCCACTGGTTCGAACCCACCAACTGTCCCGCGGAAGAAGGACGTGGCCATCTCCTTCTATAAGGCTTCTTGTAGTCATTGGAACCACTGTGAGGCAATTTTACCCTGCCGCAGAGGATCACTGGCGCCCTGGTGGGGCAGGGGATTACACGTTGGGCTGCTAATGGCAAGGTCAGCGGTTCGAAAGAGCTACTGTCCGTGTGACTAAGATGGGGCTTGCTACTCCTTTAAAGCTTCACAGCCTCGGGAACCTCCAGGGACAGTTCTGCCCTGGTCTTTCCAGTCACTCTGAGTTGGAATCAGCTTGAGTGCCCTGGGGTGTCACAGGCTGTTCTCAAGGGGGCCTGGCGGTAGAACAGTTAGGCACTAAGGGGTGGATTCTCCAAACCCAACCAGTGGCTCCTTGAGAGAAAGGCCTGCCATTCCACTCTTGCACTGATGACAAGAAAGGCGACGGGGCAGCTCTGTTCTATCCCATGGGCACTGTGACTCCGAGTCAACTCAACAAGCCCTCCCAGCGACAGCGTAGATGGTTTTTAATGAAGCAGGTCCTGAAGCAGCTCTAAAAATGATCTTGTTTGGGCTTTCTTCCTAGAAAAGTTGTGCTCTCCCAGAGTTTCTCTACTTTCAGATAGCCTGCCTTTGTGCCAGACTTACTTGGGATGCCACCCCAGGCACAGCACAGAGGATGTGTGGCTCCCGGCACTGACCTCGGGTGGGTCCTGTCAGAACCGGGTCTCTAGGGGAGCTGCTGAGGGAGGCACGTAATACATACTCGTCGAAATTACCAAATGGATCAAAATTTAGAGCTCACCAAAGGAGTACAATAGGTCCTAAATCTTGACTTCATTTATAGGATCATATAGTCTAGAAAATATGGTAAATAATTGGCATGGGAAATCATCTGTCTTCTGTTCATAAATCGTTTTCAAATCATAGAGTTCCGGTCAACGTAAAGTTTGCTGGTTGGGACAGCCACTCATTCCCATGGTGCAGACTGGAACATTGAAATTCTCCAAGCTGGTAGCCGTCTCTGTGGCTCTTGAGGGCCTGTGGCCCGGTGCAGGCGTTCAGACCACGTGAATTGCTGCCATTCTGCTCCCCCTTTATGTGCTGAAATCATTTGCTAATGTCATGAGGCAATTACCTCAGTCTTTTCTTTGTAGGGATCCTTTGTGTAACCCATTACTCATTCATATGGGTAAACACAGTGCCCAACACCACAGCCTACATTTTTCCTGGGCTCATGTGGACCTGCCCTGAGCTGCGCCTGACGGGGCTTAGATGACCAAATAGCCCGCATAATGGCCCCACAGCACCGC